AAAAGGGCTTTGCCTTTGGATTCCAATTTCATGAGGATTGTTATATCTGTTATGAGTAGGTGCTGTATGTGTTGTTAGGATTTGGAGAACGAAACTCATCTGTTTATTGAATGTGTCTATGCCAGAGCTGTACGGGATAAATTTGCTCGGATTGGTTGTTTTCAACTTATCCATGGAGAGACTCCTTTGGTAAGGTTTATGCGTTTATGTAGAATTTTTAAAAGGAAGTCTCTAAGTCATGGGATTATGCGAAGTGTTGCCTCGGTTTTGTTTTGGCAAATTTGAAAGGAAAGATGCAGAAGGGTTTATGGGGAGGGGTCTGTGCATTCTTATGCCATTTTTATGAAAATTTGCGGCATTCTTTGTATCAGGTGAGGAATATAAAGCTGACAGTGCAAGATGATGGTCTTGGTAAATCAATTTTAAAGTCTTGCAAATTGTGGCTTCTGTTTCTGTTTGGTTTAGATGTGATTGGGTTAAATGGACAGCTCCTTCTGTTGTTATTATGAAACTGAACACTGATGGAGATGCTAAGAATAATCCGGGAATAGCTGGGGGTGGTGCTGTTTTGAGGACTGATAAAGGAAATGTGGTTTTAGCTGGGTCTTTCTTCTACAGTGAGTGCTCAAACATGACGGCTGAGTTCAGGGCATTGTATGATGGTCTTCATTTGATATGGCAGTATGATTTGTCATGTTACAGATTTGTTATTGAATGTGATTCGCTGGTGCTTGTGAATTCTGTTATGGGTTTGTGTGCATGTCCCTAGCCTTTTCTGGATATTCTAAAGCAGATTAGAGAAATTTTAAGGAGTTTGGAGTATAACTTGGTTCATATTTTTTGAGAAGCTAATAACGTTGTTGATTGTTTGACTAATCAAGCTGTATTAATTAGAAGGACTATTGATTATTCAGTTGATTTAAGATTATCTTGTGAAGTGAAGTTGGCTTTGGCTCAAGATTTGAGGGGTTTGCTTTTTTTACAGAAGAGAAGGAAGGTGGTGTTTGACGACATGGGTTAACAGTTGGCTGTATGGTGTTTGAAACATGGTACATAGGATGGAATTAGTAGTCTGTTAGCTTTTTTGGATGTGCTTTGCTTTGCTGGTTTGTTGCTTTGGTCTAGAGGGAGCCTTTGGAAGGAGTTGTTTAGTTGTTTTGGTTATTGTATTTTGAATAGGCTATGACCTTACTTGCTTCTTGTAATTCTGTTGGTTTTGTGAATAAATAAAATTTATTTTTGTTTTAAAACAAAAAGGTATGTATATTGATTCATTAAACTATAACATGTATGTGAAATTGGAAAATATTTAAAAATAAATTCTTTCAAATATGCGAAAGGTATATTTTCTATTCATTTTAAAGTATTAGCCACGACAATAAGTTGTCGCTAAAAACAAGTTTCAAATTTTAGTGTTGATTTTAATTATAGGTAAAATGTATATTTTTAGTCACAATTAATTGTTGTCACTAAAAATCATGTTTTAATTAGACTTCTAGTTGTGATATGGGACATTTTAGTGGTAAAATTACGTTAAGTTGCTACAACAATTATTGTGTCTAAAGATTTCACATTTAGTGAAAATTTTTATACTGTGGCTAAAAAATTCACTTTTAGTGGTAACAATTATATGTCATAGCTAAATGATTTAGCCACACACATATTGCTACAGCCTAGTGACAATAAAAACATTGCTACTAAAATATATAGTGACAATTTTTATGCATTTAGCGACAATAATTTTTACGACTAAAAGACTAATTTCTTATAGTATGTTAGGTCAAGTTTCAGTAAAATCGACTTTTATTCGATTTCTTCTGTGAGGCAAAGAAGGAATTACAGGTATTTTGGACAATTGCACAAATGTCCTTAAGTCGAATATAATTTTTAGAATGTACTTAAAGCCCAATAAATCCTAAAATATGGACCCANAGCCACGACAATAAGTTGTCGCTAAAAACAAGTTTCAAATTTTAGTGTTGATTTTAATTATAGGTAAAATGTATATTTTTAGTCACAATTAATTGTTGTCACTAAAAATCATGTTTTAATTAGACTTCTAGTTGTGATATGGGACATTTTAGTGGTAAAATTACGTTAAGTTGCTACAACAATTATTGTGTCTAAAAATTTCACATTTAGTGAAAATTTTTATACTGCGGCTAAAAAATTCACTTTTAGTGGTAACAATTATATGTCATAGCTAAATGATTTAGCCACACACATATTGTTGCAGCCTAGTGACAATAAAAACATTGCTACTAAAGTATATAGTGACAATTTTTATGCATTTAGCCACAATAATTTTTATGGCTAAAAGACTAATTTCTTATAGTATGTTAGGTCAAGTTTCAGTAAAATCGACTTTTATTCGATTTCTTCTGTGAGGCAAAGAAGGAATTACAGGTATTTTGGACAATTGCACAAATGTCCTTAAGTCGAATATTATTTTTAGAATGGACTTAAAGCCCAATAAATCCTAAAATATGGACCCGCCTCTAAATTTCTCATTATTTTACTTAAGTTTGAATAGTGTACCAATTAGGCTTGCTACTCTCATTTATAGTTTTAACCAACAATATTAATTAAGAATGATAAATTTTTTATTATTATACAACCACGAGAATATGTTCAAACCATGGCGCCTGCTTCCAATTGGGAATCTTTTCTATGTTCCACGACATAGAATGAGCAATAGACTAGAACATAGTACTGTTATGCTAAAGTGATAGTATAATGTGCTATAGCATAAGCGTATATTATGCATAAATTATGAAATCGAGAAACTCTAAGAAAAAGAAAGAGGAAAAGAGAGCGATCGAGTGCTTATCAAAAAAACAAAAATAGGTGAGTGTCAAATTTTGGAATTAACATAATAAACTTGACCTGTACTATTTGTAGAAATATTTATTTTTTTTAATTTCTTTATAGGTATCGTATAAATCCCTGTAAAATTCAAGGACTTTTTACTCTATTTTACTAGCATATGAATTGAGTGCATTTTTTGTTTATGGAAACCTTTGGGTGGTGGGTTCCTTTGCGACTGAAGGGAATCTTGGTGGTGAGTTCCTTGATCACGAATTTTACAGGTCAAAACAAATACGACGTTCTAATAAGTAGATTATATTAGTTTCAAAACATTTAACATGTTTTCAAATCTAATGTTTATAGAGATTGATTTATATATAAAAACACTATCAATGGCCTCATGCGATGCATAAAATTAACACACATTCCCCTACCTTCTGGTCATCCTTCCCCAATTTTTTTTTTGTCTATTATCATACTATTTGAAAAGTAGATAGAAAATTATGAATAATTAAGTTGATAAAGATTGTTCTTAGGGTGACCATAGGTCGGATTACTCATGGGTCCTGTTATTCCGTCCAAAAAAATAGGCCCGAAAGACCTCATAGACCCGATAGTTGGCCCACCCGAGTCCAAACCCAATATCCTTAAAAAGAGGGTTTAAATTTGCCCCCAGACCCATTACCCAATCCAATAACCTGTTCAAAAAAATTCGTTAAAATCCGACCCAAGAACCCGCCCACCAAATCCAACCCGCGCCACTCTTCCTTTGAAAGAAAGTTATATTTTTAGACTATTAAATTTGAAATTTTAAAATAAGTTTCATAATATCGGAATTTAAAGTTTTAAAAATTTAGATATTATAAATAATGTATTATTTTCTTTTCCATGTATTAGGTATACAAATTTTAAAGGATAGAGTAATGCAAATACTAAATAACTGAGTAGGTGTCAACCTACTTGAAATGTATTCATTCTATTATATGTAGTTCATCTCTTAATTAAAAATAAAATTATTCCTTATTTTATTTTTTTATATTTTGATTCTATATTTGATTCAAAAATATAATTTATACAAATATTAAATTACAAAAATATTTACCATTTTTAAATGAAGTTGTATATAAAAAAGTCCACAAGCAAGTCTACCCACACCCACCCACCCATGGGTTGGGTTGCAGGTAGACTACCCCTACTCGAAACCCGGCCCGATTAGTTTGATAACTCACTTAAATAAGGGTTTAAGTCTACATTACTCAGGTCTGACTCAAAAATATTTCATGGGCCTGGCCAAACACGATCCATGGACACCCCTTGTGCATATTTAGGAAACCAAAAACATCACACAGAGTTCCGTTGGAATTACATAAAAGGTATCATATTCCTCGCCATTTTCTCATGCTCTCTCCTTTTTGAAAAGTAGTTCTACACAAATAGAGAGTTCTTTGGTCACTGTTATTCAAATATCTTACCCTATTTAAATATATGTTGATATTAATGATTATTTGATTAAACTGAGTTAATATTAGACTATATTTTGCTAAAATGTAACTCTAATTGAATTGTTTGGATTAAATTGTATTTCAGTTTTTAACGAATTTAAATATAGATTTTGAAAATAAAATATAAGGGTTTATCTTATTGCATGGGGGATCTCAATCCCTATAAATATTGGGACCCACTACTTATTAAATGATCGTAATTATTAAGTTTAATTTTTAAATTCACATATCATTCTTGCTTGTCTCATCTTTGCCATTGGATTTTCATGGCAATTAAATCTTGCCCGTTAATGCACACTTGTAGCTCAACTAGACAAGTGAGTTTACTGGAAATCCAAAACCAACTAATTAAATGACAACTGATTATAACTTGATCATCAAGTTTATCAAATTCCACAAGGATTCTTCAGCCTCTTTAGGAAACCATAAACATCAATCAAACAGAGTAGTTCTACGCAAATAGGGAGTTCTTTGGCCACTAGGACTAAAGCTTATGTATAAGTAGCAGGTCCTCTCCAGGTTTCATCACCCTTCTCAAAAGTTTCACATTACTACTCCAAAACAACCCTAATCCTCTTCTCTCACTTTTCTTAAGAAAACCTTAATTCCTCTCAATTTTCCTAAGAAACCCTAAACCCCTCTCACTTGTCTCAAGAAACCATATCTGATTTCTGTTGTTGCAACTTGCAGCGAAGATCATGAGAGATTTTGTTTTTGAACTTCTGACCGGTGTGAAGACGAAGGAAATCCCTATTACTAGGGATTTTATTTCTATTTTAGACGTAGTGATCGAGGGACGTGATAGAGAAAAAGGGCTGATGGACGTTGAAACTCTCAAAGAGGCCGTGATGACCAATCTTACCCTGAGTAATGAATATTATGAGTTATTCGAGAAAAAGAAAGAAGAAAATCTCCAGGAGGTTGTGATCATGGGCAATCTTTACATGAACAATACACAAGGGTTGACGGATACTGAGGCTTTTGTGGATAAACCCACCATTGATTCTCAAGGGCTGAAGGACGAAGAAACTCTCAAAGAGGCTGTGATGGACAATCTTACGATGAACACCGAGCAACAATTGACGAATGAGAGTATTGTACATCAACCCATCGATGATTCTATTGTGTTATTCGGGAAAAAAGTAGTGTTGATGAAATCACAGAATTCTGTGGAGAAAGGTAAGCAAATCTCGAATTCTCCTGAAGTATGCAAAGAAGAGAAGGTTTGGTATCACAATATACCAAGGAAACCAAGGACCAAGAGAGTAGAGGTGTCTACTTCTATGGATTGCCCCGAAGAGTCTGAGAAGAGGAAGTTCTTTGAAGGGGAAAGTTCTGGAACAAAAGTTGTGAAGTCAAAGAGAGTAGAGGGGTTCATGAAGCTTATTGGAATGGATTGCACGACAAATTTTGAGAAGACAGATTCAAAGAGGAAGTTTTTTGAAGGTGAAAGTTCTGGAACAAAGATTGTAAAGCCAAAGAAACCGAGGAAGAACATGCCACAAACTGATCCAAACCAAAAACCTGATCTACCCGTAGAGTTCAAGAATTTAATCAGTGCCCTGGGGGGTTCTGAGCCAGTGTTAGTAATACAAAAATCCTTGTTCGATACAGACGTTAGTAATCAGCATAATCGGCTATCGATACCGATAAATAAAATGGAAGAGGGTTTTTATCTACAAGAGGATGAGAAGAGAGCATTGGACCTGCGCAATGGAAAGAAGTGCGGTGAAATATCAGCAAGCTTGGTTGGACGGACCCTTGAAGAAAGTGAAATAAAACTGAGGAAGTGGGACATGAAGAAGGAGCATAGTGGCACAAATAATGCAATGTACGTTTTGACGCAATCTTGGAACACGTTTAGGGAGAGTAATGGACTGGAAGCAGGAATGGTTGTGCAGGTTTGGTCATTTCAAGTTAATTCAAGGCGGTGGTTTATTCTTGTTAACAACCGAGAAGAATGTTCGAGTGACGAAAGCAACCGATCTTGTGATGGTGCAAGCACTAGCAAAAGCAGTAATATTGCATCTGCTTCTGGCTCCAAAACCCAATAAGATTAGGAATTTTTATTTTTGATTTTCTGGTTTTCCTTTTAGATGTTACTCTTAAGATCTTAGTATTTGGGGTTTCGATTTATCCAAAAATAGAGGTTTTGTAGATTTATATAATATAAATGATGCTATTTGAAGTAACTTTAATCTTTTTTCCTGTTTTACAGTAGATGATGTGATTTTGATGACAGGTTCAACAACTGCACCACAAATTCCGTTCATGTGGATTCTGATTATTATATAAAATTTCTAATTCTTTATGTCTCTCTATCTCTCTTTAGTTTTTTTATAATTGGAGTAATCATAATACTTGATCAGAAATTAAAATCATCCATATTAGAAAACAGAATGCAAGATGTTCCTGGGACTAATCCATGCTTTTGATGGCTTAATTGATAAGAGGTCTCAGATATAAATACCGGGTCACTATAGTACATGTTCAATATCAGAACTTTTTGTGAAAATAAGAGTTTAATACATAGATCATGCAAGAAATCAGCTGTACATGAAGAGTTTTTTCTTCCGCAATCAGAATATTTTTCTCAATATGTTTTGAAATATTTTATGGGTTAATTATAAAATGCCCCCTTCAAGTTTGGGTCATATTACAATCAACTCCTTCTGGTTTCAAATTCAACAAATTACCCCTCAAAGTTTAAATATTTTTCGATTACCTCATTCTATTAAATTTCAACTATTAAAAGTGAGAATTTAGTCATGTGACTTTCACATGATCTCAAGTTCTATATAAAGACAAAATGACCCTTGACAAATCCCCACTAATGTTTTCTAAAATACCAACAAAAAAAATGAGAAATTTGGAGGCCGGTTCCCCTATGTGGATTTGTTTGGACTTAAGTTCGTCAAGGAAACTTATTTGTTATGAAGTCATTTTTTTGTCAATTTTACCGTACTATCTTTTCCTTTTAAAAGTGAAATAAAACTAAAAATTATAAATCTTAGGAGTTTAACTAACATTAAAATATTTTCTATTTCATATCTATCTATATCCATATATAAGTTAAGAGTTTGACTAACATTAAATTTTTCTCTCTCATTTATATATATATAGAGAGAGAGAGAGAAAGTAACATTAAAAATAAAAAATATTAATATTCAAATACAAAAAAAAGTTATCATTTGGACACAAAATATAATACATTTAAACACAAAATATAGTACCATTTAAACATAGCAAAAATTGAAATATTAATTATTAATATTTTTAAAAAATAACAATAGTAATATGTTCAACAAAAATAGTAACATGCTTAACAAAAATTGTAACATATTTAACAATAATTATTCCTCTCAAATTCAAACACAAAAAATTGTACCATTCAAACACAAAAAATAGTAATATTCAAAAACAAAAAAAATAGTAACATTGAATATTAATATTTAGTAAAATAATAGTAGTAACATGTTCAATAAAAACAGTAACATGCTTAAAATAATAGTAACATGAACAGTAACATAATAAAAAAAATAGTAACATGAATTTGAATATATAGGTTAGGTGTATATATATATATATATATTCGGCTACCACTTTCCTCACCATAGCACTGCCACCATCATCACCTCCCAAGCAACGCCAACCATCACGTTCTCATCACCTCCACAACAACGCTCACCACCACACAAAAGCCACTATACTTGCATCATCTCCATAACAAACCAGCGTGTATATATATATATATATAGAGAGAGAGAGAGAGAGTATATATATATAGAGAGAGAGCTCTGAATTTGATAGAGAGAGAAAGAGTATATATATATAGAGAGAGAGTTTTGAATTTGAGATATATATATAAAGAGAGAGAGAGAGAAAGCTTTGAATTTGAATTTTAAATTTATGATAAAAATTTTATTGACATATTTTAATTGACATTGAATTAAATGAAAACAATTTTCAAAATAGGAAAATAATTGAACTTCCTTTCAAGGAAGGGTATTTTTGAGATTAAAAAAAAAGTGGACTTAAGTCATTATATATAATTTTAAACATGGATTTAGTCATTTATAAGTTTTCTTACAGGACTTATCTCCAAACAAGTACATCTAGGAGGACTCCCTTCTAATTTTCGCAAAAAAAATCTAATCCTCAAAAAATTAAAAAAACCCAATTCAGTCTAGCTCCAGCCCAACACCAACCCTAATCTTGATACCCACCAAATCCCAACCCCACCCAAACCAGAATCATCAAACCACCTAGTAGCACCGCCACCTCCAACTCCATTTCCAGTCGCACCAACCAAAGCCAACGACTCACAACGATCACAAGCAAACTCGACCTATCATCTGTGTCTGTTTTTGTTTCTATCAAAGTATCTATTCTCTTTGTATAGCATGTTGAAATTGTCTCAGATCACTATTTTACATCCATAAATTTCCACATCATTCCCGATTTTCTTAAAATTCTTCTACAACTACCCCAGGGACGAACAAACAAATACCGCCCCTCCATCCATCAACCACCCTAGATCTGTCGCCACTACTGCCCCTAACCCACTTGCATACCAATCTCGATTTTGCAAACCACCAATACATTTTTATATAGGGAGAGATGCCAAACTGGAGAGAAACATGGTGTGTGTGTGTGGGAGAGTGAAAAAAGAAAAACAAACACGTGAAAGAGGAATTTCACCGATGGGAATTAGGGTGAGGCAATGAAATACTGCCAGTGACTAGTGGAAATTAGAAGGTTTCTATCGATGGGAAAAGAGGAAGGAAGTTCAGTGTTGGGATTAGGTAAATTTTAGGTCACAGGGCCTTGTGAAGCTTTAATATTTGAGGCAAAAATTTGATAAAAGGTAATTTTGTCTTTTCAACACATTTAAGATCACGTGATTGCATGTGGGTAAATTCTGTCAGGTTTAACAGTTGAAATTTTAACAGAATGAGTTAATTGAAAAATATTTAAACTTTGAGGGGTAGTTTGTTGAATTTAAAGCCAGAGGGAGTTGATTGTAACATGACCCAAACTTGAAGGGGGTATTTGTAACTAACCCATAATTTATTTTTATTACAGCATGTAAGAATATATTATTTTTACCTGAGTTTAATATGTTACGCTTAATGTTATTTCTTCTGAAAGAGTATGTATAATATCTATAGCTGTGCAGTTCCAAACTAGCTTGGACCTGTTCATGCAACTTGGACCCATTTTAATGATACAATTTTACAGACTCAATCAACTATATTATTGTCTCATTTTATTATTTTTATTTTTTTTGGTGGAGGGGGAAGGGAGGCTTGAACCATTGTCCTTAGGAAGACAAAACCTTTACAAGGTAAAAAGTATTATTAAACTAAAGGCCCATTTAACAATAGATTATTGTCTCATTTAATAGTGGTTGCTAATTTGAAGACTACACGTAATTTGAAAGGTTATGTCATGTTGTAGCCTTCCAACATGATGCTTTAAAATGTCAGTGTATCCTCCAATGGTACTCCTTACTTTATGAAGAATTTGTCTTTTTGAGGTCAAGGATTCAAGTCTTCCTCCCCCTCCCCCCAAAAAAAAGTATCCTCCAAGAAATTGCATGAAGGAGGAGTCACCTACTAGCAACAGATGGAAAAAAGGAATTAGTGTTTTGAAATCACTGCACCTCACTAAACAAAACAAATAAAAAATAAGGACAACAAAGAATTTCTAAAGTAACAATGCCAGTACTTGTTGTGACACTGGATGGCCATGGCCTTCGAATCGACGTTAAGTAATTTTTAAACTGAATTGTCTCTCTAAAGTAATTTCAAATTTAGTTCTCAATCTACCATAGTTTCCATAAAAGCGTGATTTTTTTTTGATATTAAATATTTTCACAAGAATGTTCTCAAAACACATTTACGTAGAAAAGAGCGGGTAAAACTCAATTTTTTATAAAAATCCCAATAAATTGAGAAGTTTGAAAGTACGATAAAAAAACCAGATAAAACTATGAGTGTTGTTAGTCTAGATATAGCAAAATTGTAGAAGGATTTCTTATACCTTGTCCAAATTGGAATAAGGCTTCAGTAATAGAGTCAATGAGATCCATAAACTCACGGCCAAAATTTCAAATATAACCCAATGAGAACTGACCACTCCTTTTTCCATCCATAGAGCACCAAGTAACATTCATAATCGTTACTAGGCTCATAGCATTCATATTTAGAAATGTTTGGATACAAAATCCCAGAAATGAAGACACCATGCATGTGAANCTAAAGTAATTTCAAATTTAGTTCTCAATCTACCATAGTTTCCATAAAAGCGTGATTTTTTTTGATATTAAATATTTTCACAAGAATGTTCTCAAAACACATTTACGTAGAAAAGAGCGGGTAAAACTCAATTTTTTATAAAAATCCCAATAAATTGAGAAGTTTGAAAGTACGATAAAAAAACCAGATAAAACTATGAGTGTTGTTAGTCTAGATATAGCAAAATTGTAGAAGGATTTCTTATACCTTGTCCAAATTGGAATAAGGCTTCAGTAATAGAGTCAATGAGATCCATAAACTCACGGCCAAAATTTCAAATATAACCCAATGAGAACTGACCACTCCTTTTTCCATCCATAGAGCACCAAGTAACATTCATAATCGTTACTAGGCTCATAGCATTCATATTTAGAAATGTTTGGATACAAAATCCCAAAAATGAAGACACCATGCATGTGAAACACACTCGTTTTGCGAGTCGGTTAAAATCAAAAACATCCATGGAATGCATCACAATTTGTAGAAAAATGCAAAGCATGAAAATGGAATCTCAAATAACCATGCAAACATTTTGTAATACAACTTCTCTCCTAGTGAAACAAAACGACACAGAGTCCAACTGATAAATTAAGAGACGATTGAGATTACAATGGTTAGGATTAATTTGTTCCAGACCAGGTCCGTATATTTAACTTTTGAATATAATGCAATTACAATATAATTGAAAATTTAAACANATCTCAAATAACCATGCAAACATTTTGTAATACAACTTCTCTCCTAGTGAAACAAAA